TGACTGACTGACTGTCTGACTGACTGTCTGACTGACTGACTGACTGACAGACTGACTGGCTGACTAACTTACTAACTATTTAACTAACTATTTTAGCTTGATATATTTAGATAGATATGTTTATTAAGAAAGACAGTTTTTGGTTTTGACTGACATTTTAACAACCTAAAGGGAAGTCATCTTCAAAGTCAAACCACAGGTAGTCCACCAATATTGTTGCTAAATTCATTCCCATAATCCTTTGTATCACGTTAAAAGTCTTTGAACTTGAACTTTGAGTTGTATATTTCTGTATAGAATGCAATACCCATAGAAATCCTTCTACTATTCGTAAAATCTTTGCTGTGTTCAAAAACCATATAAAACATTGAGTGTTGTATTTCCCTGTGTCTGTTGTCTGCAAGGCAGACCCACGAGTTAGCATCGTCCCCATATCCTTCCTCGATTTTCCAAAATGTTTTTCTTTTTTTACTTGTCTTTTTTTCTTTTCTTTTCTTCTTCAAAAATGTTCATGTCCAATTCGTTATAAAATAATGGCCTTTTCGTTTGCCGCTTTTCCACACAATCCAAATGTGGAATTGATCATACCATATATGAAGTGAGCTTTCTCTACTCCAACTTCGACACTAACATATAGAGTAAAACTTGATATGCTGAAAGCTTCTAGTAAATATAGTTATTTCCTTGGCATGCAGCTGCTTTTAGCTTAATTAGTTAGTATACAGTTACTATAATCAGTTACTATACTACTATGCACAGAATAGTTTTCACCCCAGAGACATTGGTAAGTCTCAAGCAACACAGATGCAAATGACAAGCAAACATAAGCACAAGCAAAATTACATGTGAACTACACAAAATAAGACACAAATAAAAGTGGAAAAATATGGTTTTTCCTTTTCTTGCACCTTGATTTGTGCTTGAGTTTTGTAATTTAGGTTCTGATAATATACCTTTCCCGAATTCGCTTGACTGGACACAAAACAATGGTTTCAAGTGGAGGTTGGACTTGATGAATAAAAGAATCATGTTCTGTCTTGACTTCAAACCAATGTTTCGTGGTCATTCAAGCGATTTCGGAAAAGTTCTATTAGCTTGCGAAAATACAGTATCGTGATTGGTCAATGTTCCGCACAATGGATTATTTGCACGTCTCTAACATTTAAGATAATTTGCTTAACCTAATTATATTAAACAATCGAGCTATCATATTCAATTTATCAGTCTTCTCGACCTGTATGGTAACTCCGACTCACATATATTTCCTGCGATCTACAGAATTCTTAGGCATTGTGTTTTTGGCTTCGCTCAATCCAAACAAAGCAAAAGCAAACTTTTTACGGAAGCAAAAACGTTACTCAGAAAACGATTCATGTCTAAAGTATCTATGCCCTAGTAATGCCAAAATCGCACTAATGAAGCTAGGGACCTCATAGAGTGAAGGCATTTATCCCGTAAAATATATAAATATTAGTCAACGTGTAATAGACAAAAGCAAACAATAAAATAGTCCTAATCCATTATTTTCCATTTCAGACCACGTGTCATTCCTTGAGTATCATTTCTTTGTTTAACGGTTGCACATGAGAAGACACATGAATATGGATACAACTCAAACAAAGAACCTTATTCTCAAGAGAATGACACGTGGTCTGAAATGGGAAAACAATACGCCCAAGTGGATTAGGTCCATTAAGGTCTACTAAGGTATAATAGTCTAGTATCTCTGGTTTAGTGGCTTCACTCTAGCGCGCACTAACTATTTATCTAATGTCTATAAAAGCAATCTGTATAATTTCTTGAGCAAGCTGAACTACACAGATTCGTTCCTAGAACTTCTTGAAAAAAGAGCGATCAAAAATAATGCAAACTCGTAATATTAAAAAAAAACCTGATTATTTTGATAAAAAGAGAATAATCATGGTTGATACCTGTGTTTTTTCAGCGTCAAGAAAACATATACGTTTATAGTCATTAGATAAATATTTAGTGCGCTATGAGTTTTTTTTTAGTGCACATCGGTTGCGGAGTTCCTCTGAGCTGGTACCTAATAATTATTGTCGTAATGCAGTCGTTCAAACCTATGACGTTTTTCTACAGTCCTTACCAAGGTCTTGGCACTTTTGACAAAGTCTAATGTGGTCTTCATCGGTAAAAACAATAGACGAAGTTCCCTTTCTTCTCGGTCTTGTCGAAAAGGAAGGAGACCTCAGCTTAAATGGATAGCATTTCGAGTCCCTGCAATCAGAATCACACCGAAAGCATTTCTGATAATACCCCCTCCAACTAGTGTGGCTCACCCATGCTTTCTCGCACTTCGGCATCTTACAGTAGAAGTTAGCATAGCACGGTTCTTTGCCTTTGTATTCTGAGAAGGTGATTAGCAGGGCTCCCTTGTTTGCTTTAGTGTATTTCTCCTTTTGTTTCTCGAGGAATTTCACTACTTTTGGTCGTATTTTCTGCCCTTCTTTCGAGTGGTGTCCCGCTCCGTCTATGATCTCCAACCAGTCGCGCTCACTTGGTCTCTCTTCTTTATTTCTTAGTTTTGTCAGGCGTTCTCTTAGAAGACGAATGGCTTCATCTCCCTCATTGCGTTCTCTCTCGATTATACCATCAATCTCGCCGCGTTTTGTATTTCTCTTCCCTAGCAGTTGTCGTTTGTAAACTTGTAGCTGTTCTTCATCAGCGACTAGCTGTCCGTGTAGATCAATCTCGCTGTCATGGCGACTATCATTGTAAAATTCAAAGATAGAATCAGACGCTAATCTGTTACTCTCATTCATCAGTTTTCCGTATTTCTCTTTGATAGCTTTGCATTCCTTGGATTTTTGATGGTGTCCAAGTCGATATTGTTCCGTTGCTTCATTTTTCCATTTCTCTCTTTCCTTGTCAAACCCCTTAGCTTGGCCTCTGTAATGGTGCGCGCCCTTCACCAGCATCGAAAAAAGGTGGAAAACTTTGGAGAATGCATCAGATGAGTAACTTTCTAGTTCGATGACTACTTTGTCCTTTGCTTTCTCATTGATGACTTCACGAAGATCAGGATCATCTGCCAATAAATCGCCTTTAATGTCTAGTACGCGATGGATATTGTTTATATTAGCGTAGTCTTCCCCAATCAGAAATCTTCTTGAAACACCTAAACATMTTATATTTTGATCTCCCTCGACCTTAAAATAGTCCTCTTTGTCGTAGGGAATAACACCAATAACATTGGCCTTCAGGCAAGAAAATACTTCAGCTTTATAAATCACTTGTATATCCTTTTCTCCTCCTTCTTTGATTTGGTCAAGGACAAGAAAGAGCTCGTTAGGTTGGTTTCCACGTTTAACGCTATGATGACAAATTCTCCCATCGACCTTCACCTTCAGGTGAGGAATTTCATGATCTTCAATCCTATACTTCTCATTTGTACAATCATAGAAAAGAACCTGTAGCTGAAGAGGTCTAAATCCACCAGTAAATATAGGCTCTTCCTGACAGACCTTTGCTTTACATCTACTTAAATCAATCGGAGGGCGCTTGACTTGGATCACGAAAGATGGGACTTTGACGTGGGTTTGGGAAGCATCCTTGGGTCTTATGGTGAGATTATACGTTGATATGTTTTCAAACGTATAGCTAAAATTCAGTGCTGCGCTGCCATCATGTTTGGTGCCATATACAATAATTGGATTCTGAGACGCTTCTTCAGATATTTCCAAACACCACGTCTGTGGATCTAGGGATACTACATTCCCGTGCTCATCTGTTCCTTCAATAACTACAGCACGTTGTTCAGTTGGGTAGGATACGATGTCGTTACCCAGTACGAGGGGATCCTGACGAAGGATTCGCATTTCTGCCACAGGGCCCGGCACAATGATTATCTCAATTGGGAAATCTTTCACTTTTTCGTTGGTAATAGAAAAAGACATAATTCGACGTCCCGCTAAAAAGGGTGTAACATCAAGCTCACACTCGTTGAAGTTCTCTCCAAGGTTTCTAACTTTGGTGGTTGAGAACTTTATGGGGCTGATTTGTTTTGTTTTCACTGTATCCTTTACACTAATTTCTATTTGTTTTGCAGTTTTCTCCCTTTCTTCATAAGGAACCGCATTCCCAAAAATGTCACGTAGAACTAATTTGACTTTGATTGGAATACCAGCCACGTGCTCTGTGTTCTCTATCTCATCGAGATTGGTAACAGAAGACTTGGACGCGGACACTGGAGGAGGGATAACCTTCACTTGCRAATCTAGACGAGGTGTGCTGGCAGTTGGTAGAGAGAGACCAAATGAAGCCATCCCAGTTTGATCGCAACGTACAGTGACAACATGGTGACAACTC